TTTATTTATTTATTTATTTATTTATTTATTTATTTATCTCATAACATCGTGTTCATGTCACCATCGAAACTGAGCATTTGTCACAGAGTTATCGAGAATTTTTTACATTTTTTTTTATGTTTGGCTGCTTATTAGAAAAACGCAGACTCCTGTAAATATGGGTTCATGCAGTTCGCCGATGAGGGTGAAATAAACAATAAACAACAACAGTAAACACCAACGGTTTCTATGTAACAGTCACTATCAGGTTTGAAATCTCAGACAACGTGTAGTTAAGTTTCTTTTCTTGTTGTGAGGTAAGACGTTCAGTCTCAAGTTGACTTTCACTCAACTTTCATCAATCATCTATTATGTCAAGTCGACATGCTAGTCCTCTTACGAGCGCCAGTCACTTTCACTCTGGCAACTACAACTGACAAAGTATCGACTGAAAGAGACCAGTAGCCTTGTGATATAGCCTAGAAAGAACTTCAGAAAGTCTTGGTTAAGAATATGATGCAAATACCTAGACGATGGCTCCTAATGCTGTCTTCTGCCTTGTTGTAATTTGTATTATACTCTAATCACCCTGAAACGATTATAAAATATTTTGTAACTAATCTTAATAAACACAAACACAGCATCAGGGGCGGGCATCTCGTTTATTGATGCAGGATACAGCGAGCGTTACATCATCGTAAAGAAAATACAGCAGTCAATAAACAGAAAAATTAAAAAGCAAAGTTGAAAGAGATGCCTTCGAGTGGCTCTTGCATAACTTACAAATTCTTAAATAGCTTACTAGCCCCTTAGGGATTCACCCCTAAAATACTTCTACAGTTAACACGAACCATACATAGTAAACATACTCCAGTGTAATAGCGAAACGTTACAAAATATATTTGCAGGCAATCTAATTCCAACGAGTGGTATCTAAAAATTATAGCTGGCTCTACAAAATTCAGTTATCACGTGTAATAAGAAGTATGAAATATCGGACAAACGTATACCCTATTGATAGTCAGATGTAAAGATAGGTATTATGACTACAGACTTAAATAAACAATTCGTAATAAAAATGGACGAAAAAAAATTCAGTGTTTAAAATTAATACCGTAAACTGCCATGGGCTTATACAACTTCTTAAGGGCTTTTGGATGGGCTTTGAAACGGAGGAACTTATCTCCGAGGGAGCCTATAACCGGAATAATAATAATAATAATAATAATAAATGCTAAATTGAGAATATAGGTTCACTGTTTTATTCCATTGTTTAGCTTACAAGGAGACCATGCTCGCTAAGTTATTGAAACCGGTCATCCGAAATAATCAGTCGATATTATTTGCCTGTCTTGGAGATTAATTATGATACAGTATTGGTCTTACTCAAGAACCTTTGGGGATCGATTTTATACACTTTTGTACACAGCCCTAATGGTTTCTAAGGAGCGAAATGAGCAGCCAAATATGTTGCTCGTTTTTAATTAAGAATTTCAAGGCAGCTCACTTTTGATAACAAAGGCCGCAAATAACAAGAACTGTCATTTGTGAGAAGCGCCAAATTTATTGACGAAGCTAATAAAGAAAGATATATCGAGCACAACATTTCGGTGAAACGTCAGTTCTTTGAACACCTCACTGAAGACACATCATCTCAACATACGGATTACAGAGGTATCAATATTTTTCTTGTTAAGACGGTATTGAGGGCATGGAAAGTATATCGTCTTAAAGAGAAATATGAATGGTTAAAAGGTTTTCACTGGGTGTTATAATTATTTTGATCTTTAAATTTTTTGAAGAGTTTTCAAACATATCGGTATGTGATAATGTCAGGGACGTTCGCGCGAAAATGTTCTACTCGATAGATTCCCTCAAGCTTTTGCTGCGCCGGACAGATAATGAATTACTTGTTTCAGAAATGGAAAAAAATAGGGTCACGGACTTCGTTTCAAAGTGTGTGGAAAACTAGTCTGATTTTGAAAAATTGAATTGGCGCCTGTAAATCAGCATGGTGTCCAGGGTTTTTAGCTCAAAATATCAAAGATGAATCAGAGGAGACAAACTATCCATCTCAACATACGGATTACAGAGGTATCAATATTTTTTCGCGTTTAAGAGGGCATGGAGGGCGTGGAAAGTATATTGTTTGAACGAGAAACATGAGACCGAAAAAAGTTTCCTCAAGGTCTTATTTTGATGAGCTTTTAGACATCAGTATATGATAAAGTTTACGCCAACACTTCGGCTATTTGACAACATTTGTAACTAACTAAGACGTGCTTAAAACTCACCACCAAACCTCATTTGAGATAAATTTTCTCAAACCTCGGGTACCTTCGTGTTCTTTTCACGAGGGTATTCTTTTCATCTTTGCTGCCTAGGAAATTTGTCCACGAAAAAATTTCAATTTGCGTTTTGAAAGCAAGCCTTGGTCGTGAAATTTGTTTGTCTGATGACACTATTCATAAGCGCTGTTGTTGGTCGACTTGGTGGTAATAGAACGGATTCCTGTAAATCAAGAAGAAATTGCATTTGTTCTCGTTTCTGGTCAACATAGCCCACTGTCTGAGGTATATTCTACAAATAGACCAATTTCGATATATTAAAATTGAGCCTTGAACAATAGACCTCAGTACGAGGCTCTGGGGAATAAACCCCACAAACTCTGTAGTTATTCCCCAGAGCCTCGTACTGAGGTCTATTGTTTCAGGCTCAATTTTAATTTTACGAAATTGGTCTATTGAAATGCTTAATTATATTGTCTTAAGGGCGGTCTTAAGAAATTCAACTGTAGACCTTCCAGTTGACTAAGGGCGCTTTTCATTCGACCAAAAATTCCGGTGTGAATTTCCGGAAATTTTCATAGGCGAATGGTACAGACTTTTCCAGTGTGGAAAACGACAGGGCGCACAGTTTTGTTCGCTTAGAATTTTTCAATGACTTCGAGGTTTAAATCGCAAATATAGAAGCAAACAGAACACTGATATGTCGACATCGTGACTTTTTATAGACCACAACAGCATGG